ATCTAGCTACGGCACTGTAAGCAGTCTAAACTAAAGAAAAGATGGAACAATATTTTTGATATTAAAAAAATATAAAGTTCTTTAGGTAGGTATATCATTGACAACAATTTAATTACAATTCATATTTTATTAAAAACTATTTTTATTAACTTACAACACTGAGAGGTTGTGAACTTGGTTCAATGATCATTCCAAGTAATGATCTGGGWGTAGACATTTCTAAATCCATTTCAATAACAGATTTTATATTCTCAGCCAATTGAAGACAAATTGGCATTGGTTCATTTAATCTCAATACAAATACGGCAGGAAGAGTAATACTGTTTTGAACAGTAAATGGTACAAATAAGGGTGTACTAAAAATATATATATATATTTTAATATTATTATTGGATTTATGAGCCATATTTTATTTATAAAAAAATAAAAATACTTTATTCCAGTGGAACTTCTAGTAGCACTTAATAATGAAGTAGACTGAACATTAGTTGTGGTAGCTGCTTCAATACATACCGTGACATAACAACCAACATCAAGAGTTTCCTTGTCTAAATTCATCATAGTATTATTTTCTACATCCAATAAATCATAAGGAGAAACAAAGAAGATTATTTTCATTGGATGCCCTATAAATAAAGATAAATTTTAAATAATTTAGTAATCTTCCTATAATTTTGCATATATTATTTTATTTAAGTACCTCCTCTTCTAGGTTTAACTACTCCTAATGGAGTCTTATGTACCATTGATATTAAATCTTTATGGTAAGTGTAATGAACTTGAGCAAAAGTTTCCAAATCAGCTTCTAGAGTTTGAAGAGCATTAAAAGCACGACACTTAACCATTTTATCTGCATTCAATTGATAAATAGATGCTAATCCTTCAAGTTGAGATGTAAAATCAGCAAAGTCACAGTTGGCAAGACTTTTTATCAGATCAGCACAACTCTAAAACACAAAAACACTTATTCAGAGATAGATATTGAAAAAATATAAAACAAGTATGAGATATTATTAAACTAGATACCACACAATTGTCTATCTTATATTTAAAAGTTGCCTAATTTACGCAACAATTTACCAATTTGAAATTTATGTAAGTGATTTTTTACTAATTAATTTGATGCCTATTTTTCTGCTGATAATGATAATGAAATCAAAGTTTGTTTTTAAAATAGATAAGACTTATGTGTTATATAACTTTTAGTCATTTTAGAAATGATGAAGAAAGGATTAAAATTCTTGTTTCACAATAAATTGTCTTCAGCACAAAAAAAAAAAATGCTTAAAATTAAATAATTATAAAATAAATAACATAATTTTAAAATCAGTAAAATATCATTGTTTAAGGTGGAATCCTTAAAATTTACAAGATAGACAATTGTGCAGTGTCCAGCTCAACAACATCATGAAATTTTTTTTATTCTCCATATATCAATGAATAATGTGAATAAAAACTAAAAACCTACTTCCAATAGGCACAATTATTCTCAGAAATTAAGTACATACAAGCTAAAAAGAGTTATGTTTTATGTAGTGTGCTCTAATTCTATAACAGGTTAGGTTATTTATAAGGTAAATTAAATATTGATGCATGCGCAGACTTTCCTTAATTGGTACTTGAATAAAGATAGTAAGCTATGAATGTATTATTTAAGTATATTGAACCTACAGCATAGGATTTTTACATAAGATTTAACATTAAAAGTTGATTGAAAATCAATAGGCATACACAGATTGAGTTTGTAGAGAATAAATATTAAATAGTAAAGCAGTGAAAAGGTTAATATTCTAATATATATATATATATTTTTTTTTTTAAATCAAATTGTTTGTTTTTTGTTAATCAAAATGTTAAGTAATCAGTGTTTTTATTGTTTGCATTACTACATTTTACTTATTAGTTTGTTCAGCTAACTTAGTATCTCGTGCAACGAGAAACAAAACATCTTTTAATAATTAATTAATATTTGAAATGAAGATTTTGTAGGAATAGTATAATAAATTGTACTTGTGGTTCCGATTTTCCATCATGATGAATCTTTACATCTTTTACTCCTCCATTGTCTTCCAATATAATTTCTAAATAAAACATATCTGAAGAAACAAATATGTCTTTACCAGAAGGTCCAACAGTAAACTTTAAACTAAAATAAAAATACATACATATTATTAAATTCATAAATATAATCTGACTAATAGAATACTAACAATGTAATATTATAGCATAAACGTGTCAATAATAAACAGTTAAAGTTACCCTAAATGCCTGCTGACACTGTCTAAACGTTCAATCATTGTCTGCAAAGTAGTCACCTTGATATTTTGTTGTAATAGATCCAGAGATTTTTGAACGAGACATTTTTCATTTGGGTCTACATTAATACGTTTTTCCTAAGTACAAAAAAAAAAAACAAAACACGAATTTGTTAATATTTCTAAATTTGTTTAGTGCACCAATAGTGCCTTCTTATTCTTAATATAAAATATGTCTTTATCTATCAAATTTGTTATCAGATTTACTATAATTTTTCATTATTAAACCATGGCTTAAATACAGTGTTCTGAACATTCACTAAAAAAAAAAATGTATGTACATTCATGTTCAGTACTTAAAAAAGGAACTTGTTTATGTTCTTTGAAAAAATGAATATATTCATTAGGTTGTTAATTTTTTTTTTTTATCAGCAGTTAATATAAAAACCATAAACATATAGGATTCAATCCAAAAATAAAAACACAATTTAGACATTAGAGCATATACTATACATATTCTAAAGTATCTAAATTATATATATATATATATATATACATAATAAATAGTAAATAACTTGAGTGTCTTAAAAATGGTTCAAATTCATTAAAAATATAAACCTTGTTCACATTCTATTTGAAAAAAATGAGTGATGTTCCCGACGTTCCCGTTGAGTTCATTAACTATGAACGTGTGTACAAGTGCTCATGAACGATGTTCTTTCCAAACACAGCTAAATTATACTTGGTTATTGCAAACGTACTCCTACTGTATTATCTTCTTATATTAAGGAATACAAATAGTAACATAAGGGTACATAAGTTAAGCTATACTTAAGCCATGCACCCTTAAACTACTATTGTACTTTGCTTGATAACAATAAAGGTCTAGGTGCAATAACCAATCGWGCATTTAAATTYTAAGTCATGCATTATGCCATGTTTATATGGATTGTAAATGTATTATTTAAAAATTAAATTTAAATATCATAAACTTAAACATGGTTAATTACTTAAACTTCAATCACCATAAGTAACTTTCAACAAGGTCATTAGATATTAATATTAGTTAAATAATTTGTGTACTCAATATTTAGATTAAACTTGTTTGTTGATGAACCATTAAAAATTTAATACACATTGAAGATCAGAACAATTATTTATTTATTATTAAAACAGCTATTAGCATATTTAATAAGGTTAAKAATAAAATATTATAATGTGTAAAAAATTATACAGAGTATAGAAAATACTAGATATCTCATGAAAAATTCTTTCAACTGTGAAGTTTAATTATATTATAAATTTGTTACCAATGATTTTTGTTTTAAGTATGTACGTATCAGATTCCTTAAATGACAATTATCTATATTATAAAAAATATATACCTAAATACCTTTGTAACTATAATAATATCAAATTAAACTGATGGTTTAGTAATTATTTACAATGACTTTAATAATGGTTGTGTAGTTGTAATCACTCTTAAATAATAAATACATTAATAAAACGTATCTACTATAAATGTGTAAAATATTTTAATGTTTACAACATTAACACATTACCTTACACTTTTTCCAAATAAAATTATAATATTGCTATATTTTTTCTTTTTTTCCGTTTGAACCGACAGCAGGGGAGGATCTGTGTGAACATTACTACTCCCCTGCTGCCATCAAAATATTACTATATTAGACATTGGCATTATACATTTATACCTAAACATGCCCAATATTAAATGGTTTTGGGACTAGTTTAAATAGAGCTTGAAAAAAAATATACCTACACAAAGGACACCAAATAAAATTTTCTACAGACACCATTTCTGTAAAATAGTCCCTCATTTCAACACAAAAGTCACTAAAGTTTGTTCGTAGGTATAAAAAATACAGTTAAGTAACTCATACTGATGTAAAATGCAATCAAACATAAATACTTAATAACTATTTGACAACTCACCAGTAAAGCCAGTTTGATATTTTTAATAGAGTCTGTCAACGGTTTGTACTGAGATTGGAGCGCTTTGCTACGCAACTTTTCCATCATCAACTGCATTTGTAGTTTTCTCGATTTATCCTCCGATATTCCATTGTGCAACAGGACTGTGGCCGACATGAACACCAAATAAAAAATTATTTAATATCTCAAAATTTCCATACGTTTGTTAACATTAACTGACGTCTGGGTGGCCGAAAAAATACTAGCTAAAAATCTAGAATACGATCTTACCTGCTGACTGTGTGGCGGCGTTCATGATCGTCGAGACTAGTAAATAATTTCGAAGAGAAAGGGAATAATCGGCAAAATATTAGACAGAACGAAACTGGGACACGCTTTTCAGCAGCTGATAGTTGTACAATAATAATAATAACGTATTCGTAGAAAGTAATAAAATCGTAAATGAGTAATGAATGTAGTTGTAGTTGTATATACTTCAACACTTGTATATTAGTCTTGTACACCTCCTGTCCACTAGTGTCTACAGACTTAATATAATAAATATGTATATAACTATTAACTATATAAGTATTAAGTACTATAGTTTTTTTTATTGTTGTTTTTTTCGATAATAAGTTATAGTTATGATCATTTTCATAACCTCAAAAAACTTTGATTGTTTCTTAAAGATGTAATTCTTCGGTACACCGAACCGAGCGCCCTCGTACGTAAACACTATTATCACATATTATACTATGTTTATCAGTTTTGTGTTATCAATAAAGAAAATAACGGTATGAAGTATTTGGTGAGTGACTGAGTGTTACTAGTGTTAATAGTTACTTAGAGTACTTACAAAGTTACAAACCTCAGCAATTAAAGTCTATCTTCTTGTTGTTTACATCATTTTAAATATCATCAAACAACCGTATCGAGACCCTACTATGACAATTTCAAGTGATGCCATTATTTAGCAATAATACAGCATATACATTTTTTTTATCGAAAAAAAATTACGATTACTTTGAATTGACGTTGGTGTTATTGTAACATTTTTTGTTTACTAATATTAGACGAGTTACCATGGCGACTCATAATAGTATGAACAACGATGATCAACGAAGTCTATTAGGTAAAGTAATATAACATTTTTCTAATGAGTTAGTCTGCGTACTTATTGTAAAACTGTTAAATAATATAATAAAGTTTTCATTGAATAGTTCATATATAATTATTTTACACTACCTGTAACATATTCAAACCATAAAAAATTTTTAAATTTGTTGTTAATCATCAAATTTAAAACTAAAACTTATTATTTTATTAAAATAATTTTGTTTGGTCGATTCTATAATGTATTTGTCGAGTAAGTGACTTGTTTTATGATTATAAATGTATAATACAATATTATTTCTTTTTTTTTCAAATATTTGTAGCTGCAGTAGTGTTCGTGAATCAATTACCATAGACCATAGTTTAAACTTTAAAGCATTAAATCATAGTCGCATACTCGCTTATGCTTAGTAATGTTTAGCACTATAGTACCTTATAAATTATTAGCACATAAAAAACCCTCAATTTTTAGAATTTTTTCAACGTTCTTTAATTATCCCAATGATACCAGCTAGTGTCTATGACGTCGATGAAGTGCACGAGCACGACACACCCGTATAGGTTACACCTACCTACTGCAATTACTACAATCTAAATATGTTTTAAGTGCTATTTGCCATATACTTACACATCTCTACAATGACCCATATTATATTATTTATTTATTCATATATTCGCATWAGAAAAATCTACCAATTTGAATAGATTATTTACTTATATATCCTATTGGTTAGCTATACTACAAATACGAAGTTTAGGTTTGCAATTATTTCACTTATTAAGGAACTCAATTTTTCTTATATATCRCATAAATCAAAGTTAAAACTACTCATATACACCTATCCTGCTAAACTACTTTATAGTTTACCCTTTGAACAAAATCTTACTAATCTAATCTATCCAGTATCCACCACAGTGGCGTACACAAGGGAAGGCCATTAGAGTCAGTCCCCTCCCATTGCTTTTTTTGGTTTTTGCTTACATTATGTAGGATGCACTATAATATAATATTTTGTTATATAATGATCTATCGAGCTATTGAATTTCGATAATTTTTTCAATACTAAATACCATTATAATTGTATTTTCGTTTATTTGTAGCAATTAGCAAAGTAATGTTTATTTGTTTGAAATGTTTGATGATGTCTATAATTATACTTAATTATTCATAGATACAATACTGGTTGGGGGATTTTCCACATTTCCCCTCGCATTTAGCTTTGTCGTTTCCAGCCTTCCTTTCAGAATTCATGTCTACACCACTGGGTATCCAATATCCATTGTATTTTTAAGCATTGTTAGAGTTCTGGGGTTCTGACCCCCCTCCCCCTAAAATTTTTTCATTTTACAAAAAAAATCTGATTTACTGTTTCAATACCCAGAGTCGATGATTATAGAGGTTGGTAATTTTTAATAGATATAAATTAAATTGTTAATTTACCTATTATTAACTATAATTTAAATAATTATATAAAATCTGTTACTCAAATTATTTAAATTGTTTATTATTATTTCAACTATTTACTCATCATGTAAAACCCTAGCCGAACTAAACTCCTGCATACGCTACTGTCATTAAGACGTATTCAGTAAACTGAGTGTATAGGCTATAGATAAATAGATAGCTAGCAATAACAACARTTTACACTGTTTGTAATCAAATGTTATTAGCTATTTTTATTTTGTTAATATCAATTGATATTACTTTTTTGGCATTTGGTACATGGTAGGATATAGACCGGGTGCCCGTGGTGGCAGTATCGTGATAAACTGTTCCCACCCAGCTCGGCCAGCCCTAGTTTTTTTYTGGCAAAAAAAAAGATATAGAAATATTTAATTTTGGTTAAATTAATAGTTAAAAATAATAAATGGTTATTACGTATTATTAAACTCAAAGTTTTCAAAATTAATTTAGTATGTTTAATATGTTTATATAAATTATATTGTCTGCTATTAACATTTTTCACATCATGCAATGCTATAACGTGTAGTATTATAAGTTATAACATTTTAATATTCTATAGGGACGTCGGTACACCTCGATTTTCTGTAAACACATATTATTTCATGCTTTAGCAAGTTTGTCTGTTTAATCCGTAATACTAACATATAAAACGTCATGTTACATTATCAGTCTGAAAATAATCAATTCATGTCGCCATAGTGTTAAAAATGGTTTATGTCATAAATCATAATATTTACTGTCTGTTCGTAAATAATAAAAACGYGTGWATTGCAAAACCGATAACAATTTTTGTATATTAAGACATACATTTTATGTCAAAATAGGTAATGTTATTTAAATATGTTTAGAGCCTATATGTATATTATCAATCGACAACTGTGATAAACGTCCTATATTATGTTCATGTATAAGTGCAATAACAAATCCAATATTGTGTTAACTGTGAAATATAAATTAAAGTTATTAAGTAAATTTGTTAAATTTGTTTTAAATTAGTGTAGGTATACGTTTATACTAACAAGCATGGGCGGATAGGCCTACCGGGCAACCGGGCATTTCCCGGGGGGGGGGGCGCTTCGTATTTCGATAATGGGGCCCTTTAATATCATAAATTATTAAATTCTTTTTCACGTGGGGCCCCTTTTTAAAATTTTCCGGTAGGCCAAAAATGGCCTATCCGCCCATGCTTACAAGTTACAATATACTTAATCATATGATTAAAAGAAAATTGTTACCAATTCTGTGATAAACATATTGTTATAAAAAATGTGAACTCTTATGAAATTAAATGTTTATAATCGATTTTTGATATTTTTCTTGTTATAGTTGATTAGTTATAATAACATAATATGAACAACCTTGTGTTCAATTTTCCTGCCATTTACAATAATATTATGATATGTATAATGTATATGTAATACATTTATTATAATTTTTCTAAAAATATATTTATTACACATAGGTATGTAGATTCCGTGTATAATCGATTTTCACGGTTTCAAAGTTCTGAGTCTAACCAACTTTGGACTATTACACTTAATACTATYCCTGCTCACGTATTAAGTAATAATACTGTATATACGTATAGTCATTACTATAATAAATTACATGACATTGTTTTAGATGTTGTTTCTTAATATTTTATTTAAAAGACAGCTAAATAACTGTACTAGTTTTATAAGATTAGTTTAAACTAGTTTTTATTATTTCAAATTATAAATATTTAAAAAAAAACATTTAGTATTAATAATTGTGAAATTATCGATATCAATTCCAATATTCTTATTAATCCCAAAATATGCGAACGTTTCCGTTTTTAAATATAAAAACTGAACATTATATGTGATAAATATTTTATTATAAAGATATAAAATTTAAATTTTGTAACCACTATTTTTTATTAAAACATTACTGATGAGTGACATTGGGCTACAAGGTTTTACAATTAATATAAGCTACTATTATGAGATCTAAAATTAAAATATTAACATTGAAGTTTTATAAGATATATGTGCTAAATTTAATTACGTAATACTCATTTTACTTGAAGATTAGTGGCTAAATATAATTAGGTTTATTAAGAAAATAACTAATTTAACATGCAAATACGTAAAATCAAGTAGGTACCTACAAAAAATATGTATGTCTTTATTATAATCCATTCCATTACTATATTTAAAAATATTATCACAATATTATTATTATGAAAAATATTTGACTACCATCCAAATTCATTGTATTTATTTTATATACGTAGGTACCTACCAAATATGTTACTTTAAAATTTTTAATTAGCATTACTTCAAAGTTCAAATGAGTTAAATAGATTTAGCAATTATTCTCTATTTGTATCTTATACTTAAAATATAATGTTCTCTTTGATTTAATGTCAGTTGTATTTTTAAATTATAAGCTGTTCCCAATTGCCAACTCTGTAACATACCAAATTTTATTGTCTTACATACAGATTCTATACTATTATTGAGTGTTCTCACTGATATGTTCATCTACATTTTCGTAAAAATAAAAAATTTTAGATGAATGTCAACAGTTGTTAAGGTTACGACATGCGATTAAAAAATTTTAAGAATCGCCATATTATTATAGCATAAAAGCTTGTTTGGGAGATGATATCGTACTTACTCTGCAATAATAACAAAAAATACATAGGCCTTGTACATACATTTTTATTTAACCTTCCAAACAATATATTTAATTTGTTAAAAAAAAATGCCCACTAAACATATTGAATAAATGTATAGGTAGGTACATAAGTACATTTACAAAATTTAAATGCGTGTATATATGTCATAACTATGAACTATATGGAAATTAAGTTCTTTTTTTCATTATAAAGTGTTACTGACATACAAGGTCATGAAACTTATTGATAATATAATAGAAAATAATAAAATATAACATGAAATTAAATTATGAACGGCCTAACTGATCTAACTTATTAGCTATTCACTTCTTTGAAACTATATCTCAATTTTATGAAAAAAGTAGTTGCGCGTTTAAAATTRCTTAAGATACCTAGATACTTGCTTATTTTTTCAATGCAAAGTATATTATTAAATAATAATTTACATTCATCACGTTATTTGTTTTTGTCTATTATTATTTTTTAAAGCAGTAAAAATGTTTCATTTTTCAACTTGATGGTAGTTTCTTGCCATTAATTTTCAAAATAAAATTGTATTTGTTGGGAGGGGGGTAGGTTGAACTTTTACTCCTACAGTACTACTCTATTATTCTGATGAATTTTATCATTTTTGAATATCTGAAAATAGCCACCAAGGAATTGTTTAAACAATATAATATATATACTGTAAAGTCCGATTACTCGTAATTCAAGGGCAATAAAAATAAATTCGATTTATGTTTTTATCGAGTTGTACACATCAAACAATATTTAAAAATATTTCAAGGAACAAGAAAAAAAATCATCTTATGGAGGCATCGCTTCATATAACCAGCTATATTAGCATTACATMATTCGCAGTTCTATTGTTTTCTTTTATATTTAGCTAAATATTATATGTACAACGTTTCTGTGTACCTGGTGGTACGTCATTATGTTTAGTTTCAAATATCGTGTAAATAAACATACATCCAAATAAGTAATGGGTACTTATACTTATAGATTCCTAGGAAATGTACAATACGAATTCCTAATTATTTACTATTTGCATAATATAATATTATCTATTCCCTATTGTATTTATTTTCGTGTTAAATATATATTATTCATGTATTAAATACATTAGTATGGTAAATGTCTACGTGTATGGTTTTAATAAGTAGTTTTAAGCTTAATAGACATTGTTAATTTGTGTGTTGAATAATTCAATTTTTCGACTTTAGGGAAGCATATTGGATAAGGCATGGTGAAGATAATTATATAATATCATATATTATTGTTCCACAATGTCGACGTTTTGTGCTGATGGTCTTATTCCAGCGAGATTTTTATGTCTCGTTGCTCATTTTGTAATGCTCATCATGGCTTTAAACCATAGGGTAAGACATAAAAAAATAAAATAAAAAACGTTATGCTAAATGAAATTATACTATATTATATTGAGTATAATACGTATGTATGTAGCGTTGACTTATTTGTTTGTTATTATGTTTAGATATACCAAAATCCTTCAGTATAACCACGAAGAAACACACAATTAATACTTCTACAATACAATTATAATTTTACCTAGCTTAAAGTTCATACTACACACACATTTGTGTTAAATAGTTTAACATTAGCTTAATAGTTATTCATTCCTACAATGTATTATGAATATTATGATCAATCCAAAGTGTAAACGCTCGGMCAATTACATGTATTATTATAAATTAAAATGTGTGCAAATATTGAAACCTGCCGCCTTGTTCCCAAACAATAATGTGTTGTATGAATGTTATATGATATATATAATCAATTTAATTCCAATCGTGTATCTATTGACGCACATCACAGCTCACTACTTAGATATATCAATTTAAGTTTTTATTCAAGGCTGCGAAAAAGAAAAATACTAATATGACGTCATAAACCATATAAAAGTATTACTTTAAAAAAAAAATCATAATCATTTGGTTTTTCAAATATCGTTCTAATCTGGCTGTTTTGATTAATAGTTTAAAATACGTTTAATAATTAGTTTAGTATGTATGTAATAATAGTGTTGCTGTGTATTCAAACACCGAAATTATATTATGCAACGACGCATACTGAGCTATTACATCCAGACCTATAGTCAAATGATGTATGCAACATAAGATAATATATAATACAATATGCATGTATATTTTTGGTTGCAGCATTTTTAATCTAATAACATCGATATGTCTTGTATAATCTGTAACCCAGTCTCTTTCTAGGTATATCTATAGTCTATACTACTCGTAAATTTTTAATAATTTTGTCAACGCTACATTCTTCGATTAAAATTTGGCATCACGTGTAAAATTATTTAATTAAGTTTGATGGAATTACGAATAATCACAATTACTTAGGAGCAAAACGTAAAAGCCTGTCTACCATATGATTATGACAACGACCTTTACATCGAACAAGACAAAAGGTAAATTTAAAAAAAAAAACGGCTAATAGGTACCTGCCAAAAAGAAATATTTATAAGATATATTGTTTGTTAGTTTATTTATTATGTTAATTGATGCACTTTTTCTGTATCGTATAATGTTTCCACTGTAAACATTAAAATATTTAATTTCATGCTTCATTGCCACTATATTAGACGATACCTTGCTGTACTACTAGCTGTATAATAGCTTTGTATAATATTAAACACAATTTATTAAACATCAAATAAAGAAAATATAATATACATTATTGTATTGGCGCAACATAACATAATTCAGCCGAAAAAATCATTAGCACGACACTGCCATTCTTCGGTTATGTTTTGCACATAAAATACTTTAAAGTTTCTATTATCAATATCTTTGAAAACATATCAAAATATTACATTCAAGTTATTAAATTTATATTTTTAAATTGTAAAAAATGCCGAAACTGTAAGGCAGTACCTATCTGTCACTGTAAATACTCTTTCGTAACTTTCCTTCTTCTACTCTTTATTTCATCTTTCTTTTATCTTTGATAACCTACTATAATATACAGGGTGTCCCACAGAGATCTGACATTCTGACAAATGAAATAACTTTTGTTCTAATCAATATTTTTWAAAAAWRTYWTWWAAATATAATCCATAGACACTTGCGCTACATTTTTAGAATACATTTTTTATTTTTTATTTTTAATACTGAAAATAAAAAATTTAAAAATTGATAAAAAATTTTTTCGAAAT